AAAAAAAAACATTTCAAATGTCACCCTCATACTGCCCTCGAAGGGATCGTGCCCAAAGGGTTCACGAGATAGAATGTCTGCAGTGCGACAAATGACGGATCTCAAGGCATGGGCTCTTTTATAAAAAATATGTATTTTTTTTATTGGTAGAAAAAAGGTAGGGAGAGAGAGAGAAACATCAGTGATGATGAGAGAGAATCATGGACCGGCTGCCTCCTGCACGCACCCCACTGATCGAGCCCGCCGCAACCCAGGCATGTGCCCTTGACTTGAATCATACCCGGGGACCCTTCTGTCCACAGGCTGACGCTCTATCCACTGAGCCAAACCAGCTGGGGCGCTAGGTCGTCTTTAAATGACTACCAACCTGCTATGTTAAACCAAAAAAATAATAAAGTATTTTAAAACAATGTGCATGCCATCTCAATGCAACAATTGCTAATATTTTTTTAAATGATTTTATTGACTCAGAGAGGAAGGGAAATCCAGAGGGAGAGAGACATCCATGATGAGAGAGAATCATGGATCGGCCTCCTCCCACTTGCCCCAGTCCAACCCTCTATCCACTGAACCAAACAAGCTAGGGCTCATTGGTTAATTCTTGTCTGTGCCAGGACCAGGAATTGAACTGTAACCTCCGGGTTCATAACTCGTCCGTCAACCACTGAGAAACACCAGCTTGGGTCAAAATGCTTTTATTGATTTGAGAGAGAGGGAGAGAGACAGAGAGATACAGGGAGACAAAGAGACAGAGAGAGAGAGAGAGAGAGAGAAAGGAGGAGGAAGAGGAGGAGAAGAAGAAGAAGTGGAAGAAGAAGAAGAGCAAGAAGAAGAAGAAGGAGAACTAGAACAAGAAGAACAAGAAGAACAAGAACAACAAGAAGAAGAATAAGAACGAGGAGAGAGAGAGAGAGAGAGAGAGAGAGAGAGAGACATCAATGTGCCCTCACACCAGAGCGTGGCAGATAGAACAACGGAGCTTAGTAAAAAGGTGAACAGAACTATACACGTCCAACCAGTAGGCCAGCGACACTGGGGCTCAGGTTGACAAGAGCCAGAGTCCCCATCACATGTCCAACGAGTTGTCCATCAGCTCAAGGATCATTTCCTCCAATCCATCCACCTTTATGTGGCGCACGATGCGCCAGAACCGATACATGTTGTCCACGTACTGGCTACCAGAGTGGAGCGTCCACATCAAAGGCATGGTGAACGAGGTTAGCGTGCTTGGGGTGAGTGCGATATCCTCAATGGGGATGTCTACCTGGTGCAACAGTACTTTCAAGACATCTTCTGTCTCTATGATGAGGTGCAACCATGTGCGATTGTTTTCGTCCTCATACCCCGAG